AAGGCCACAGCACACTGTCTCTATACAGCAGAGCCACAGCTCACTGTCTCCATTCAGCAGAGCCACAACACACTGTCTCTATACAGCATGGCCACAGCACACTGTCTCCATTCAGCAGAGCCACAACACACTGTCTCTATACAGCAGAGCCACAGCTCACTGTCTCCATTCAGCAGAGCCACAACACACTGTCTCTATGCAGCAGAGCCACAACACACTGTCTCTATACAGCAGAGCCACAGCTCACTGTCTCCATTCAGCAGAGCCACAGCACACTGTCTCCATTCAGCAGAGCCACAGCTCACTGTCACCATTCAGCAGAGCCACAGCTCACTGTCTCCATTCAGCAGAGTCACAGCACACTGGCAGAGCCACAGCACACTGTCTCTATGCAGCAGAGCCACAACACACTGTCTCTATACAGCAGAGCCACAGCACACTGTCTCCATTCAGCAGAGCCACAGCACACTGTCTCTATACAGCAAGGCCACAGCACACTGTCTCCATTCAGCAGAACCACAACACACTGTCTCTATACAGCAAGGCCACAGCACACTGTCTCCATTCAGCAGAACCACAACACACTGTCTCTATACAGCAAGGCCACAGCACAACCACAACACACTGTCTCTATACAGCAGAGCCACAGCACACTGTCTCTATCCAGCAAGGCCACAGCACACTGTCTCCATTCAGCAGAACCACAACACACTGTCTCCATTCAGCAGAGCCACAGCACACTGTCTCCATTCAGCAGAGCCACAACACACTGTCTCTATACACTAGAGCCACAGCACACTGTCTCCATTCAGCAGAGCCACAGCACACTGTCTCCATTCAGCAGAGCCACAACACACTGTCTCTATACAGCAGAGCCACAGCTCACTGTCTCCATTCAGCAGAGCCACAACACACTGTCTCTATACAGCAAGGCCACAGCACACTGTCTCTATACAGCAGAGCCACAGCTCACTGTCTCCATTCAGCAGAGCCACAACACACTGTCTCTATACAGCAGGCCACAGCACACTGTCTCTATACAGCAGAGCCACAGCACACTGTCTCCATTCAGCAGAGCCACAACACACTGTCTCTATACAGCAGAGCCACAGCTCACTGTCTCCATTCAGCAGAGCCACAGCACACTGTCTCCATTCAGCAGAGCCACAGCTCACTGTCACCATTCAGCAGAGCCACAGCTCACTGTCTCCATTCAGCAGAGTCACAGCACACTGGCAGAGCCACAGCACACTGTCTCTATGCAGCAGAGCCACAACACACTGTCTCTATACACTAGAGCCACAGCACACTGTCTCCATTCAGCAGAGCCACAGCACACTGTCTCCATTCAGCAGAGCCACAACACACTGTCTCTATACAGCAGAGCCACAGCACACTGTCTCCATTCAGCAGAGCCACAACACACTGTCTCTATACAGCAAGGCCACAGCACACTGTCTCTATACAGCAGAGCCACAGCTCACTGTCTCCATTCAGCAGAGCCACAACACACTGTCTCTATACAGCAAGGCCACAGCACACTGTCTCTATACAGCAAGGCCACAGCACACTGTCTCCATTCAGCAGAGCCACAACACACTGTCTCTATACAGCAGAGCCACAGCTCACTGTCTCCATTCAGCAGAGCCACAACACACTGTCTCCATTCAGCAGAGCCACAACACACTGTCTCTATACAGCAGAGCCACAGCTCACTGTCTCCATTCAGCAGAGCCACAGCACACTGTCTCCATTCAGCAGAGCCACAGCTCACTGTCTCCATTCAGCAGAGCCACAGCTCACTGTCTCCATTCAGCAGAGTCACAGCACACTGGCAGAGCCACAGCACACTGTCTCTATGCAGCAGAGCCACAACACACTGTCTCTATACAGCAGAGCCACAGCACACTGTCTCCATTCAGCAGAGCCACAGCACACTGTCTCCATTAAGCAGAGCCACAGCACACTGTCTCCATTAAGCAGAGCCACAGCACACTGTCTCCATTCAGCAGAGCCACAGCTCACTGTCTCTGTACAGCAGAGCCACAGCACACTGTCTCCATTCAGCAGAGCCACAGCTCACTGTCTCTATACAGCAAGGCCACAGCACAACCACAACACACTGTCTCCATTCAGCAGAGCCACAGCACACTGTCTCTATACAGCAAGGCCACAGCACACTGTCTCTATTCAGCAGAACCACAACACACTGTCTCTATACAGCAGGGCCACAGCACACTGTCTCTATTCAGCAGAACCACAACACACTGTCTCCATTCAGCAGAGCCACAGCACACTGTCTCTATACAGCAAGGCCACAGCACACTGTCTCCATTCAGCAGAGCCACAACACACTGTCTCTATACAGCAGGGCCACAGCACACTGTCTCTATTCAGCAGAACCACAACACACTGTCTCCATTCAGCAGAGCCACAGCACACTGTCTCTATACAGCAAGGCCACAGCACACTGTCTCCATTCAGCAGAACCACAACACACTGTCTCTATACAGCAAGGCCACAGCACAACCACAACACACTGTCTCCATTCAGCAGAGCCACAGCACACTGTCTCTATACAGCAAGGCCACAGCACACTGTCTCTATACAGCAGAGCCACAGCTCACTGTCTCCATTCAGCAGAGCCACAACACACTGTCTCTATACAGCAAGGCCACAGCACACTGTCTCTATACAGCAGAGCCACAGCTCACTGTCTCCATTCAGCAGAGCCACAACACACTGTCTCTATACAGCAAGGCCACAGCACACTGTCTCCATTCAGCAGAGCCACAACACACTGTCTCTATACAGCAGAGCCACAGCTCACTGTCTCCATTCAGCAGAGCCACAACACACTGTCTCCATTCAGCAGAGCCACAGCACACTGTCTCCATTAAGCAGAGCCACAGCACACTGTCTCCATTCAGCAGAGCCACAGCACACTGTCTCCATTCAGCAGAGCCACAACAAACTGTCTCCATTAAGCAGAGCCACAGCACACTGTCTCCATTCAGCAGAGCCACAGCTCACTGTCTCTATACAGCAGAGCCACAGCACACTGTCTCCATTCAGCAGAGCCACAGCTCACTGTCTCTATACAGCAAGGCCACAGCACAACCACAACACACTGTCTCCATTCAGCAGAGCCACAGCACACTGTCTCTATACAGCAAGGCCACAACACACTGTCTCTATTCAGCAGAACCACAACACACTGTCTCTATTCAGCAGAACCACAGCACACTGTCTCCATTCAGCAGAGCCACAGCACACTGTCTCCATTCAGCAGAGCCACAGCACACTGTCTCTATACAGCAAGGCCACAGCACACTGTCTCCATTCAGCAGAACCACAACACACTGTCTCTATACAGCAGGGCCACAGCACACTGTCTCTATTCAGCAGAGCCACAGCACACTGTCTCTATTCAGCAGAGCCACAGCACACTGTCTCTATACAGCAAGGCCACAGCACACTGTCTCCATTCAGCAGAGCCACAACACACTGTCTCCATTCAGCAGAGCCACAGCACAACCACAACACACTGTCTCCATTCAGCAGAGCCACAGCACACTGTCTCTATACAGCAGAGCCACAGCTCACTGTCTCCATTCAGCAGAGCCACAACACACTGTCTCTATACAGCAAGGCCACAGCACACTGTCTCCATTCAGCAGAGCCACAACACACTGTCTCTATACAGCAGGCCACAGCACACTGTCTCCATTCAGCAGAGCCACAACACACTGTCTCCATTCAGCAGAGCCACAACACACTGTCTCTATACAGCAGAGCCACAGCTCACTGTCTCCATTCAGCAGAGCCACAACACACTGTCTCCATTCAGCAGAGCCACAACACACTGTCTCTATACAGCAGAGCCACAGCTCACTGTCTCCATTCAGCAGAGCCACAGCACACTGTCTCCATTCAGCAGAGCCACAACACACTGTCTCTATACAGCAGAGCCACAGCTCAGTCTCCATTCAGCAGAGCCACAGCACACTGTCTCCATTCAGCAGAGCCACAGCACACTGTCTCCATTCAGCAGAGCCACAGCACACTGTCTCCATTAAGCAGAGCCACAGCACACTGTCTCCATTCAGCAGAGCCACAACAAACTGTCTCCATTAAGCAGAGCCACAGCACACTGTCTCCATTCATCAGAGCCACAGCACACTGTCTCCATTCAGCAGAGCCACAGCTCACTGTCTCTGTACAGCAGAGCCACAGCTCACTGTCTCCATTCAGCAGAGTCACAGCTCACTGTCTCCATTCAGCAGAGCCACAACACACTGTCTCTGTACAGCAGAGCCACAGCTCACTGTCTCCATTCAGCAGAGCCACAGCTCACTGTCTCTATGCAGCAGAGCCACAACACACTGTCTCCATTCAGCAGAGCCACAGCTCACTGTCTCCATTCAGCAGAGCCACAACACACTGTCTCCATTCAGCAGAGCCACAGCTCACTGTCTCTGTACAGCAGAGCCACAGCTCACTGTCTCCATTCAGCAGAGCCACAGCTCACTGTCTCTATACAGCAGAGTCACAGCTCACTGTCTCTATTCAGCAGAGGCAGGCAGGCCAGTTTAGCACCTGGACCCTTTTAATCTAAAGCCATGCTTTTGTAATACATGCAGAATGTGGTCTGGAATTGTCTTGCTGAAATATTCAAGGCCTTCCCTAAAAAAGACATCGTCTGGATGGCAGCATGTGTTGCTCCAAAACCTGAATATATTGTTCAGCATTAATGGTGCCTTCACAGATGTGCACTAATGCACACCCACACCATCACTGATGCTGGCTTTGGAACTGTGCACTGATAACAAGCTGAGTGGTCTTTAGCCTTGAGGACAGTGTCCATGATTTCCAAAAAGAATTTCAAATTTTGATTCATCAAACCACAAGACACTTTTCCACTTTCCCTCAGTCCATATGTATATATATATATATCAAATTTCTCAGATCAACATTTGATATGTTGTACAGCGTCCCCACTTTTTTGGAAACAGGGCTGTACACTTTATTTTATTTCAAAAAAGCGAGGACAGTTTTTCCCTGATATGGGCCTTTAAGTGTTCTTAAAAGGAAAGGTGAACAGTGGTAAACATGCTCCAGTCTTTACTTTTTTGGAACGTATTACAGATAAGCAATTTGGTTTGAATGTAGAAGTGAAGGTAAATCACCCTAATAACAAGCAGGAACTGAAGGCCTGGCAGAGCATCACCAGGGAAGAACTCCAGCTTCTGGTGATGTCTATGGGTTCCTAACTTCAGGCAACTGCTGACTGCAAATGACTTGCATAATAACAATTTAATTTTTGCTTATGAAAAAAAGGGGGAGGGGAGGTTATGTATGAAAATGATTTTAATGCCTACATCATTTTTCTGATTTGGATATAAATACCCTTAAAAGTATATAAAGCTCAAAATGCTCTAATTTATTATTTAATTTGAACTCCAATATGCTGTGGAACAATAACAATAACTTTGTCAATATCCAAATATTTATGGACCTCACTGTAACTTGACAAAAAAGTTAAATAGATAATTACAGTGTATTATTTATTTCAGGGATGTCTCTGCTTGTTTCAGCAAGACAATGCCAAACCACATGCTGCATGTGTTACAACAGTGTGGCTTCACAGTAACAGAGTGCAGGTCCTAGACTGGCCTGCCTGCAGTTCAAACCTGTGTCCCATTAAATCATGAGATACAATATGAAATGCAATATAAGACAACAGAGACCCCTGACTGTTAAGAAGCTGATGTGTTATATCAAGCAAGACTGGCCAAACTACAACAAATGGTGTCCTCAGCTCCCAAACGATTACAAAACACTGTTAAAAGCAAAGGGGATTGTTACAGGACGGCAGGGAGGCGGACCCAAGTGCAAAGATGAAAACCTGTGAGAAAGGGTGTTAAATAAATTTATTGAGGAAATGGAATATGAATTTGGCACGTGGGGGTGACCCAAAGCCAGGCTCGAACCACGATGTACTGATCTGCGGTCCTTCGAGTTACCGCTGAGCCACTGGGAAGCACAGGTGACAATGGGTAAAACATTTCAAGGAACGGGAAATAAAAAGGCGCGAAAAACAGTAAACAAAGGAAATGCTGAAAGCAGCATGCTCAAACAAAGGCTGAACTAGAAACATGAAATAAAAGATACTTAGAACAAGTGTATATACACAAAATTAAGGTTAATTAGTTGAAACATTAAATATCATGTCTTTGTGCTGTTTTCAATTGAATACGGGTCAAAAGGATTTTCAGATCACTGCTTTCTGCTTTTATTTCCATTTTACGAAGTGTCACAACTTTTATAGAACTGGAATTTCTGTAAGTTATTATTGTGTATAATAAAGGTTATTAATGTAGCATATAGTTTACAGTTGGATTCCAAACTATTAAGAAATAATATCCATTTAACTGCAAATGCTCCTCTTTTCTACACAGAAGTGATGATTTTCCTAAAGAGGGCACGAGCATTAAAGTACAAAGAGGAAGCTGTCTACATCAGCAGCACTGTCACTGGAGAGGATCAGTAGACTACCAAATGAGCTGAAAACATTATTAGTGATTTTTCTCTAGATACATTCACACATGTATGAAAAATTATATTTAATGACCGTGGAATAGTGACATTCATTTGTTTCGCCAGTTGTTTATGTATGTATGTATTCACAAATGTCATCTTGTGTTAATATGTAACAATCATGGGTACTTACCTACAGCAGCAATTATAGACAACACAGCCCATTCCAGTGGCATAAGTGACACTGCAAGGAATCTTTGGAGTCTTTGTGATCTCTCATCTGATGGAGAAAATACAAGTACCCAAAGACTCCTTAGAAGATTAATAGTCACAATATAATTGTCACAAACTTTAGGACCATCTCAGGATAAGACCAGAAAATATTTGTGATCTCTCCTCTGAATTGCATGAGAGAATGTTCTGACTTCTGATTGTAAACTGCACTGAAATCAATACATCTCAATAAACTAATGTAAAACAACACAAATATTTATCACACAAAGCAAACATAAATAATGATAGCAATAATAGTAAGAGAGCCATTATTTACATACCATGAAAACGTTTAAAGTATGGAGAAAATGCAAGTAGGCAAAGACTCCTTAGAAGATTAATAGTTGAACAAGTGGCAGCCTCACTGATAAATCCTGAAGAAACAGGAAATGAGTTTAATGACATTTCTTTTTAACGTCAAGTAAAAGAGAAGATACAAACATCAAGTGAGTTGAAACTGTTTGGACAGCTCCACTTTGTTAATATGTCCATGTTGTTTTTGATTTTGTCACAATTGCATAATCAACCAAAGAAGCTGAAAATAATAATATATATATAGATATATACAATTCCAGAGCAAAGTCTCAACAAAGTAAGGGATTTCATAGTCTTTAGAAACAGGTAGCAATATTATCACATTGTCAGGTTTAGTCTGATTTCTCCTACAAACATGGGTATATTATTTTATGAGTTTGCATTATAATTAAAGCACATATGGAAAATGGAAATCAGGATGAATTTCTGAACAATAAACCATTAACTGTTACAATTAACAAAAACAATAATAATAAATAATAATAAACAATAAATAATTAACCATTTAAAATGTTTTACATATCGTAGAAGGCACCACCATAAACATCTGTTTTTGGTTCACCTAATACTCCAAAACTCTAGGAATATAGTCTGACACAAGAATAATAACTTGCCCTGATGACTGAATGGACGGCACTGCTCTCACCAGATTGTTACTGCAGTGCTTGGGCTAATTTGAATAACAGAGAAGGTGGCAACTTTTCACATCAGCAATATGTTCTGTCTTCCTTCCCACAATCCACCACACATTCTTTTCTTCACCTTCATCAGGAAGTAACTGAGACCATTTTTAATCATGGCCAGTAAACACAGTGATCAGTAAGGTGGCCACTGTTATCCTGTCTCTTAGATGCTGCTGAATTTCTTGACATTTCTATGTATTAATATCTTATGATTCTGACTCTATTCAGCCAAACAAAAGTTACATTTTTATTAATATCACAATATTAAATCTAGTGTAAGTTGTATAAACACAACCATAAAATACTTACCATTAAGCACACCCCAAAGGATGAAGGCCACAAACATAAGAATGTTTGGACCAAAGACAAGAACATGCTGTACGATTACTGTGCAACTGCCTAAAAAGATAAAGAACAACTGCATTTGAGAGTTTTACAATTCAATTACAAATACCACTGTCATAAATTTGTCCTAAAAGTGTTCAAATGAAGACTTTACATACCGGGCTCTTTATAAAAAGTGTCTGAAATGGAGCCAAGAAAAAGTACAGATCCACACAAACAAGTAAAGATACAGAGGAACAGAATCATATTGTGCATGTGGGAAAAACCTAGGAGGAAAAGACAAGAGTTGTGTTACTATATGTGAAATGCAGAACTGCTCAAGATATCAACAGAACAACAAGGGTGAAAAGTAAATTTGACCCTGAACTTTTCAAAGCAAAAAAAAAGTCCACGTTCCCCAAACATACAGACCGCTGCTATGTGCACGAGCAGGCAGAGAGTCAAAGTCAGTTGCAGAACCAATTCCAGTAATTTCAACTAAGGGGCTCCACTGGGCTTAATACCACTTATAGCAACGCCTTAGACACAGACATCTGAAGCTTTTAAGAGGCTTTTGAGTAAGATAATCATTTTATATGATGCAGTTTTACTGTGAAGTTTTACTGTCTGTTTTAGTCTAGTATGGTGTTGGTTTATGGTTTCTTTTCAAAGAGACACAAAAAAATGTATTTTTCTAAACTTGAAGGAGTGACATAAAATATGAATTATACAAACTAAAATATGAACTGTGCAAATACAAGTCATGTCAATTTTTGCGGTGTTAATCTGTTAATGTCTTCCTCTTTAACTCCTAAATTTGCATTTCACACAGCAAAGATTTATGGTAATCTGAAATCCTGAAAGCCAGTCTTCTTCCTGCTCGTGTGCTCCTACAACAGCAGTTAGGTCACATCGCACAAGCAGTAAAACGCCAGTAATCCTTGTTTATGAATGAGTAAACGTGTAATCTTATCACGGTCGTTACAATCTCAGACCCGGGTGGCAGGTGGGACTGGAACTGCCAATCTGCAGTCCAAAGGCAGACTTCATCTCAGCATCATCATCCTTCCATTCTCTGCACTTCCTGGCTTTGACAGAGACTTGCATCACCCCCAAGAACTCAGCAACTCCAGCAGCTCTATCCTCTGCCTTCAATTTCTCCCTTTCTATAAGACAGACTGGTAGGAGTGCTGGCACAGGTTTGCTTTTGTGTTTTGAGTTTCACTCCTCTCATTTTCTCATCTTTTAATTTCCTCTTTTGAGTACCAGGCTGTTACTGTATCTTTCATATCATTGTCATTTCTCACCCTGCAACTCCATAGATGAGTTAGACACTCTTCTGAGTCTCCTCCCCATCGACGCAATCCCACTCATACTCTTCAGTGACTTTAACCTTCCATCGGACAAGCTGCAGTCACTCTGCCTCTTAGTCACCACTGCTATCATCCTTTGACCTCACTTCTGCTTACCTCATCTGCACTTTGAATAGTGTAGTGATCCACATTTTATAAAGTTTCATTGATGGAAGTTGGACCATCCTTCAGAAAGACTGACCAAAACCAGCTGGAGTTTGCCATGTTCACCCAGTGACTCTGCTGCTGAGGTTGTTCTTGGGTTAACTTTCTCCGATGACCCGGGACATGTCACCAGCGGCTCTCCTCACAAGCTATGAAGAGGCAGTAAGGTAGTCCACTTCTTTTCTATAATTCAGTCTTGATGCTGGGATATCTGTATCCCCCTTTCCTTTTAATAAATCTAGGTGTTTCACTAACATCATTTATCCATTTGATGCTGCTCAATTCCCCATAAAATAACTACCTCCTATTCTCCGCTGATTGCAGTATTTCCTCAAGTGAAAATCAGGTCTCTGGTTTCTCTATCTATATCTATTAATCAAATCTATCATTTAATGTCTTGATTACCTTGTTATTAATATCCAGCCACTAAATAAGCCTCTACCAAGAGGCTAAATATTTGCTATACACTAATCTAAGTACCTACTGAGACGCATTGTACTGCACTTATGCTATAATTTATTATTTTCTTAATCCTGTATCTTTCTTTTAGGTATCAGCACTGGCTTTTGTGTCTGGCAGTGTCTGAGCTCAAAGGTACTTTGGACACTAACTTATTTGTGCTAGCTAGGATACATTCTCTGAGTGGACAACAAAGAACTGTTGTAAGATGACCTGGACAAGAGCATCTGCTAAACGCTGTAAATATAAATCTAAAAACGAGAGAAGGGATTCTCTCTCATAATTCTCTGCTGGTAGCAGACCCCCAGCTTCCAAAATAAAATAAAAAAATCATCAAATCTACAGGATTCATGTGAAAATTTAAATATTTACTGAAGGACTCACTGAAACATAGAAAATAAAGAATGTCTGCTACCAGCTCCAAATGTGTTTTATCTAGATCTGCTACAGGACAAATCAGCATTACCTCGCAACAAAAAATGTACTTTTTAGTGGAAAACACTGGTAACGCTGCACGCATACAAGATTTGAGTTACTTAACGAAGATATTGGAAAAAACAGAGCACTTTCAGTGACCATGTTTTTAAATATGAAAAATAGTGTTCATCTAAATATTTACAGTAAACAAACTAGATGTCAATTCTATTTTTGTTGATATTAGCAAGCCTGTATGTTGGCCGTTAAATTCTATTTTTAAAGTCACAATCAACAGGACGGTGGGTGTTTAGCATTGACTTATTACTGCTTGCTTTAGAAGCTACACCATGTAGGTTTTGGGGATTTGGAAAACCTCTTCCTCTCTGGAGGAAATATGTAATTGCATATGGAAAAATATTTTGAAACATTGTTTATGCTCCGAATCCCTTTCCTGAGCGAATCTGAGGTTCCAAGCGAGTTGCAAGAGTATTCAAAGAGAACCCAGTCAAAACTTGGTGAAGGACGCGTCTTCCGAAGAAGTGAGTGAATCATCTACTACTGCCGTCATATCATCATCAGTATAATGTTATTTTTGCATTTCAGGCCTAAACATTGAAAACAAATTTAGATTATCCTGTGTCTAAAATTTAATTTTTCCATACTGTACTAGCTAATTTTAGTGTGTGGGATGTAGTGAACTGTTAACTGAAAAATAATAAAGTGTGGAACACTGTTTGCAGGCTGCCATACAATGTGGAAGGGGAGGAGCCAAGAAAGGACACTGCAGTTTGAAATTTCAAATGGTAGTTAGATGTGATTTTCCTTCAACAACTGCATGTTTATAAAACGTTTATTTTCGGTATTCTTTTTACATTACATATCTAAAGATGTCAAAATGTTATGAAGTTAAATATGAATTCTATGTTACAGCTAACTTTACCTTGCTAGTGTATGCTAACTGCTAACTGCTTCAATGACATAAGGCATGGTAATCTGTCATTTCTGTTTAGTGCAAAACATCAGATTTGACGTGATAAAAAAAAAGAAAAATCCAGACTCTAGAGAGTGAAGTACATAATATGTAGTGTAAGAATTGGTGCACAGTTTTCAAACAGGAAATGATCAGCAATTATATGGCTTACCAGAGCAATGACAGTCATGTCACCATGTACATGTTAACTTACCCAAAGGTAGTATTTCCACAGTTGTGTGAGCTGAAAACTCCCCAGACAGCACTTCACATCTATACAGGCCTTTGTCCTCCATTCGGAGAGTCTTTATTCTGAGTGAGAAGTTTCCTTTGTGGATTTCTTCAGGGCCAAAGGACTCGACTCTGTCTCTGAATCTCTCGTGGGTAAAATCTGTCTGGATCACACCGTTTTGGAAGACCAGCACTGTAATGCCTTGATCCACTTTCTTCCATGAGACATCTTCAAGTTGTTTAGGTGGAATAAGGGAGTCTACAGAGCAACTCAGAGTGATGTCTTCATGCGCATACGCAGATACAGCATGACGTCCAGTCACAATCAAATACTCTGAAAGAAGAAGCAACTGAAATATTACAGTGCAGAGGTCTCAAGACAAAGTATACGATTTCATAATACATCTCAAATAAATTTGTTTGGCAATTGATTCAGCTAATTTTGACAAAAGGCCAGTGTAGATCCTGCATCTTACGTTTTGGTCAGAAGTGATAATCTGTTTATCCCAATGAAAGAAACAGAAAGACTGCTGCAGCTGTCTAAGGACTACTGTGCACCAGACGAGAAGCACAGTGCAGCAGGAAAGTACAGCTATAGCTCATAGTGTCACAGAAAAGCACAGATAAGCAACAAGCTCCAGCTCATTTTATACTCTACTCATATTTTATACTCTACTCTGATTTAATGGTATAAAAATAATTCAACATAATTCAACACATATTTTATGTACAAACTCAATTCCAAAATAGTTGGGACAGTCAGTGAAATGCCAATAAAAACAGAAAGCAGTGATTAATAAATTCTGTTTAATCTGTAATTGAAAACAGTTCAATAATCATTTGAAGTTTTCCCTTCATTGTTTTTGCTGCTGCTCTACAGGTCCTTCATTGTCATATTTTGTACTTCATAATGTACCAGATGTTTTCAATAGGAGACAAGCAGGCCTGCTGTTGTAACACGAGCAGAATGTTTCTTGGTGTTGTCATGTTGAAATAAGCATGGACGTTCCTGAAAAAGATGGTGTACAAAAGGCAGCATATGTTGCTCCAAAATGTGTTCAGCATTAATGATGCCATCACAAATGTGCACGTTACCCAATAATACCCTAACAATAAGTTACTCTTCCTGCTACCTCTCCCTTTAGCTCCTTCACTTTCCTGACCCAAACTGCATTCACAAAGCCGCCAAACTGGTGATGAAGCACAATGTCTTTTATGGAAGCGGATTAATAAAAATGCAGTATTAGACTAAGGATTCAAATATCAAATTCGAAATGTCCATCCTCAGCCAAAACCATACCCTGGTTAACTGCTTCTGTGGGTTTTTTTGTGTGGTGATGTAAGTCAGTCAAAGTCACATGTTACAACTTGTACAAGAACGCAAATGCAATCTTCACATTCGTCGTATTGAGAAACGTGAAGTGGAGTGGGGACATGGCAGGAATGGAAACAGGAGGGGGTGAAGTCAGGATGTGGAATTCCTGACACATAGGAATTCATTGGAAATGATTTTTTTTGTATTGATCTCTATGAAAAACATACTGTTAAGGACTTTACAGTCAAATTCTTCTGCAGAACACTGTATGTGTCTAAGTCTCACCTACCAATTTCAACTGATGCTTGACCAGTATCCTGTTGTCTGTAAACGGTACAGTTGTAAACTCCTGCATCTTTAGTGGTCAGATCTGTGAGGAGGAGAGAGAAGTTTCCACGCTTGACCTCCTCAGTAAAGAAACTGGCTCTTCCACTGTAAGCCTGATCATGAGCATCTGGTTTACTCTCTCCATCTTGGAATAAATGTACTAAAGTTTCAGAGTCTGTTCTCTTCCACTCCACTTCCAGCTCTTCCAGCGGTATGGGGGCTTCAACGTAACACGGCAGCATCACTGAGCCCCCCAGCTCCACAATCAATGGACCAGAGGGGCCGAGCACATGGAGCCCTGAAAGAAGAGCAAACACAGTGAGATGAGTAATATTTTTTACTTCTTACTTCTATTTCTAGACACTGCCAGAGAAAAGGGCACTGTCCAGTTTTAGTCCCTCAAGTGCAAACAATGTGAATGTTAATGATATGGTCATTAAGGTCCAACTGTTTAAATGTACACTACATTCACATTCCCAGTGGAGAGGAACTCAACATTTTTAAGTAGAAAAATAATATAAAATGCCAGGAGTCGGTACGGGATGTATGGAGTCAACGCAACTTAAAAAATATAGGTCCAACAGAATATTCTACAATTATATTCCCAAACTAAAGATACTGAAGACGTACCACTCACTGACAACATTTACACCCTGACAGAGACAGTTTTTTTTTCTGAGAGTGTATGAAATGATCATGACTTCCACTGTATGTCACGATGTGATAAGCAGTCGACAGTTTGGGCATGGTCCATGTGGTCGTGTGGAAGTATTTTTTAAGCAAGATCTGCAAGACACTTCTCCATCTGTCGTTTTCTTCAAAAAACACATTTTGAGAGTATAAAAACACATTTGGAATTTTTTATGCAAAATCTGCATCAACCACTTCTCTTTTTTGTTTTCTTCAAATAGACTAGCATGCATAAAACACATCCTTTGCCTTTTAATGAAAAATCTGCATTAACCATGTCGCTTTCTTTACTTTCATTTTCTTTAAGGGGATAAAAAAGCACTGGGATTATATAACACACCCTGGTCCTCTAGCTTTAATATACATACCTATTAGCTACTGAGTCAAAATGTACTGAATGTGACACAATAATGACTGCTTGCATTTTAATTTCAGGTTATAACGGCTGAATGCATTTCGCATAAAAACCCATTTTCTCTTCGAATATTTGACTTGAATAGATTTTATACACAATTACTGTATTACTGTGTCTCAGAGAGAGCATTTAAGGTCATGTTTTGAGGAGAGCAGAAGGCGGAGACGCATCATGTGCTTCCTTAGATAAGAGACTCTGTTCACTGAAACAGCTTAACAGTAAATATAAACAAAAATGAACAATATTTAAATCATTGCTTACCGGCACAGATGAAAAGAACTTCTGACAGAAAAAGACAAATAATTAACCCCATCTTCACGTCTGAGAGGAATTCTGTATGAAACAACTTCACTTCTCAGACTCTAGAGGTGGACAGGGCAAAGGGGGCAGCTGTCAATCGCTCGGCGACTCGAGCCAATCACATAACAGCTACCAAACTCTAACTAGCCAATCACCTACAGGAATACAGCACTAAAGCTGGAGTAGAAACAGTTGTAATAGAGCAGGAATCGCTCAGTTTTACTGATTTTAGAGTGATAAATACTGAACTGCATTTCTACAGCTTTACTGAACTAAAACTGCAGTGCTGCACATCTGTAGATGCATCAGTGGTTTAGTCTTCTGTGCAGCAATTAAAGTTGTATAACCACAACTGTATCATGTTACTTGAAGCATCATTATTGTTCTGGTTGTGGCATCAGGCATTTTTAAATTTGGGGGAGGTGCATAAAGTTACCAACTATTTTCAGTTCTTTGCGAGCTGAGCTGGTTGTGCCAGGCAAAGCAACCAGGCGAATGTTCTGTTAGTGTGGGCCATACTAGCTCTTTTCAGTGAGACAGATCAGTTGGCTCAGCTCAGAAATAAGCTAGCTCTTTCAGTTTTAAGGTATCAGTTAGCCTTGGGGGCGATAACTGATAATGAATCCCGAAAAACCCTCTGCATGGCGGGAGATCCCACTCACCCACTACACAGCTTCTTCAGCCTGCTGCCATCAGGGAGGAGACTGCGGAGTCTCCAGGCCAGGACCAGCAGACTGGGGGACAGCTTCATCCACCAGGCTGTCAGGACGCTGAACTCTCTCCCTACTTTGCCCCCCCTCCCCCCTTCTGCCCCCAAAACACACAGAGTTTTGGACCCAAACACAGGTTCCTGACCCCCACTCCCCAATACTGAACTCTGACATTCTCAGGGACTGTTACGCACCCATCACTTTCTGTTATGCACTCATCACTTTAACTGCTCCATAAGCTTAGTCTAATTGCACTACTGTTTATATTTGCACTATTTATACCCACAGACCTTAATCTGTATGTGCCTTATGTCACTTTAGTGTTAATTTCAGGACCTTCTATATTTATATATTTTTTATTATTCTATTTTTCTACAATTAGTGTTTATTTTTATGATTAGTGTTTAGTGTTTTTTTAATGTCTATTTAAATTCACACTTTTCCTGTTTACTTTCTATTTAATGTTATTGCTACACCATGGGGTCTGAGAGTAAAGCAGTTTCAATACTCTGTATGTCCTGTACATATTGTAGTATTGACAATAAAGCTGACTTGACTTGACTTGAATATCGTGTTAATTCTGATAAGTGCCAGTATTCTGCATATGATTTCTTTTTTATTGATTTTCCTTTATATATCCATGTACAATCTTCCTGATCTATCATTATGAGCGCCTGGGCTCCTCTTTACCATTAAGTAAAATGAATAATAGCAGTTGTGGTGTAATATATATTGTAGCATGTTCCAGGAATTGTAAGCAATGATGGTGGCATTCACGAACAGCATTTACTGGGCAGTACTTCAGTCAGAGCTGCGGAGGAGTCAAGTGCGTCACCGTTGCCGGTATGGCAGAGATGATGACAGAATTGATCCAAGGATTAGCAGGGACTGCCACTGCTGTGCAACCGGCCAGGACATCTGGCTACGGCTTATTCAGCGGGATGAGGTTAGCGGGAAAGGAAGATGGCCTAGCCAAAAAGAACAGCACAGGGAGCGAACAAAAAGTGGACAAGGTGAGGCGAGTGTCCATATTAGACTACTGCCACATTTCCACTGAAACTGAAGTGTCTGAAGGAGTTCCACTGAGTGCATGGGTGGATACGGGGTCAACAGTCACAGTGGCCCAGCCAGAAGTGGTACCTGCTGCTTTCAAGCTGAAGGGCATGGCACCTATCTTGGGGATGTGAGTCACTTAGCCTGGTTGTTTTGAAGCAAAAAGACATCCTAAAGCACGTCTGCATTTATTTTCAGTTCATGCACTCATGCTAAACTTAACGTAAAGCAAAATAAATAGAAGAGGAAAGAGATGTGTGGTATGTAAGCCCAGCATTACAGAACGTAGCAGAGAAAATTAACAGGCAGCTTTTCTGTGTCACAGAAAAAAAAACAGACTATTGGGGTGCACGCCAGCACTTTTCTAAAGGAACATCAACCCGTTAGTCCCCTCTACACTCTCAGAAACAAAGGTAGTAAACTGTCACTGGGGTGGAACCCTCAAAGGTACATTTCAGTACCTTTAGTCAGGGAACATAACTGTACCATAATCCACTGAAATGATATTTTCTAAGCTGTACTGACTCCACACACCCCGTCTCGTCTCCAGGCTTTTATTTTACTGTTCTGTTTTAAAACATTCGGTTATGAAAAGGTACAAATACGAACTTTTCACCTGGAAAAACTTATTTAAGGTGAACAACTGGACCTTAAAACCACTGTTGCACCATTGAGGGAACAGTTACACTGTTTGTACCTTGATGAACGAAAAATGTACCTGCACAGAACCTTTATTTCTAACAGTGTAGTTCTGTCGGCTATTTTCCCAAGATGACAATGATTATCTTTTATGCATCGTCCTATTGCCCAGGCCTAAAATACTGAACAAATAAGAGTCTTTTGGTAAACTATTTCACCTCTTGAAAGTTAGTACTGTAAACACATGTTCATCAGAGCCTGCTGGGGTTCATGGGTGTTTCTTGCTAGCTAGTTAGCTAGCTATAAAAGTTGCATTACAGGAATTAATCTTTCAGTAAGAAAATATCAATGAACATTAACAATATTTAATAGAAGGAAGACTGAAGTAGCTAATGAACTGTATTGTGTGCACCGTAGCTAACTTCATGTTGATTTTAGCTACCTTAGGTAGCTAGTTAGCTAGCTAGCCAACAATAACTTCACTGTAAAATGCCCAGGAATACAAAATGGATTTCTGCGTTTTCGCGCAAGTACAGTAACGTTAGATTGAAGATCTCAATGTGAAAACCTTTACAAATAAATTAGAAACCTTTTAAAGCAAGTATTTACTGAAATCGTGCTGCAGTGTGTGTGGATAATGACAACAAGCTAATGTAGTTAGCTATACACTATTCAAAGCACTAAGTTAGCTACCTTTTAATACAAATCCAAAACAATTCATTTTTTCTGTATTGGATCACTGGAAACTGTTCAGAGTATTCTAAAGTCATTTTAACTTGGTTTATGACATAACCATAATTAACCTTACTGGACATTACAAAGCAGCCTCTTAACGTCCAGCTGAAAGGGGAGAATTCCAACGAAGGTGGAGTCTTATCTGCGTTCTCACGCCAAAAGGACATGCCATCAGTGACATTTTAGTATAAGCAGTGATTGAATAAACTTTTCCAAATGTAACCCTTTTCCTCTCACGCAGCTCCCTCGCATGGCAAAACAGTACCATGTTAAACAAGCTCAGTTTAAAAACTGGTTTGAATGGAATGAGTTATAAAGCTACTACAGCTAGTCTCTTTGATTTACAGTCTTTGCACTGGACAACACATCCAAAGCTGAAACTCACCAAAAACACAAAATATTTTAAACCCTACACATTTGAATAATGATGCCAAAAATCCACAGCCAAATTAGCTTTCAACTTTCAGTATAAAAATCAAACAGTAATGCACAAACAGTTACCAATTTTCACCACACAAGTGACAGAGTTTACTACATCTCTAATCCACACAAAACATCACTGGATGTTTGATGTTTTCCAAGGATTAACAAGGATTGTTCAGAGACAAAAATCGGCATGGCTCATCTTCATAAAACAAAATAGTACTGTGATTATAGGGAAGCAGTGTCACAACGAGGAACGGTGAATGCGCATACCACCTCCTACTGGTCTTATCTGTGAATAGCACCACCTTACACAAACAGACATCCTTATTAATTTACCATTTTATTAGAATAAAATACAGCACTACAGTATTTGTTTCTTAATAATTCAGTGTGGATTGCCATTGTGGTATCTGTTTGTGATGTGGTTCCATTTGTGTTTTTGGTGTAGGAATTGAGTAATATTTCACTCTCCAAACTCTTGAGATGTCGAGTATCTACAAATCCGTACGTAGCCAGGAGTCCAAGAGAGCACAATTGGCCTCGCTCTATCTGGGTGGGTAGCATGGCCCCCCTTCTCCCCTCATCACTCAACACGGTGCTAGTCAGCGCAGGCGCCTGTTAGCTGACGTAACAGATCTGGCGGTTGGCACTTTCCTCCGAACGCATTCGCCTGTCCAGTGACGTTGCGTGAGCGGCTGTTCGAAAAGATGCGGTGGCTGGTTTCACAGGAGGAAGCCTGTGTTAGCCTTGACCCTCCTAGCGTTGATAGTATCATGTGATTGACTAGTCCTAACTAGTGGGTGAAATTGGAGACGACTAAATTGGGGAGAAAACTGGGTAAAAATCCCCAAAAAAAGGACAAAAACGCACTCCGTTTAAGAAACACTCTCCAATTCTCAAGTCTAAACATATGGGGCTTGTCTTGGACTAAACTGCAGCATCAATGGCAAATTGCAGTTGGAAATTCGTTCAGGTTTAGGCTTGGCCTTAATCTGGGTTAAGTTGTGGATTTGGCAATTAAACATCCTTTTCTTTTCAACTACTCAAATCTGGATTTCGGTGTAGCTCTGTTGGAGAATTCTGGATGAAAACTGACAGAGCTGAGTGTCTGGCTGTATTTTTTGTTTATGTTTGGCTGTTCCCTTCACCTCGAACCTTAGGCATGAGTACTGTGTGAGTGGAGGAGAAGATACCTTCTTTCTCACTTTCAGTAATTCAATACTATTATTTTCACAGTGTACTTTCCCATAAGCCAAACATGAACTAGGGTGAAGTTATTTTATCACAGGCCACATCTGGTAAAACTGGCCAGCTGCCTTTTCAACTCCTCCCCTGACCATGTAAATGCCCTAAAAATGAAGATGTGTGAGCAGAAGGTTCACATACACAAGCTCTCTTCACAACATGCATTTAATGAACGAAATAAAGTGTTAAACAAATATAAATGCGTCATTTGTCTGATTTCCGTTTACACTGCACTACAAAACCGTCCGAATTCGACAGCAACCAGTCCCGACGCATAAAAGAATATTATACAACAGTTAGCTCCGGCCACGCAAGCTGATTGGTTGAGAGGCGGCGTTCTAACCGTGTTGATATTTCGCCACAACATCACAGGTTTTTCACAAACACTGTATCACTCTGCTGAGACACCATTGCTAAGTAGTGACTTTGACAGCTGTAAGAGACGCTCAAGCCATTTGAACGTTTTTACTTCTTACTTTGCCACAAACAGAAAATGGACACTTTTAAGATTAGATTTGACCGACAGCCGATTTGGTCAGACTCTGAAGGTGAGACGACACTAAATTCTCAAACTGTCAGTCGGTCTGTGTGGAGCTGGAGAACGAACTGCCAGCTGTGCAGTGAGTGAGCAGAGTTCGTTACTCTGACGTAGCAACAAGCTGCTTGTTAAGGAACTATAATTTGAAGGAACTGCAAACATTAAAACATATTAAACGCCGCGTTCACGGCCCAATTTATTAATTTATTACTTTATTTATTTAACTGTTGTATAAAAGCAATAGAACACTCGAGGTCATGTGTTATCACTATAACATCATGGCTGTGATGATCTACGGCGACCAAATCACAGCTGTGATGTTATTTCGCACTAACACACTCCCTCTCATGTTCTACTGCTTAAACAACTGGAATGTTCAGATTATTCCTTTTCTCTTGGGCTATGCATTCAGCAACATACACATTCAGACATGGCAGATAAATCTTCAAAATGCATCCTTTTCAGCTTATTTGCTCTTTTTGTTTACTATTTTAAACAAATGAAGTGGTAACTCACTCTATTAGTGCTTATATAACATCAACACAGCGTAGCGTTATCTTGTTCTTTCAGCTAAAATTGCTGCTATGTAGCAACAGCACTTTAACTATTCACTTAGCTAGCATACGCAGTACGACACACATATACTCTAACATCAAATACTAAACTATATTGAACAAATAATCGAACTTAAAACAACTTTTAAATAGTATTCCCATCTAAAACTGAAGATGTGTGAGCAGAAGGTTCTCAGACATGAGCTCTCTTCACAACGTGCATTTACTGAAAGAATAGAAAGAGAGCTGGTCGCTCCCATTACTGCTCCCTACTCCACGTACTGGCGATTTCAGGTATTGCTCTAGAACAGATTCCCGGAATTAAACAGCTTTGAATCTTTGCCAATTTTGACCTCTCACAACCACAGTTGGCTTCTCTGACTGACCATAACAAGATGAAGATGAACTCTAAAGGGCCCTCATGCTACCAGCAAGTACCAAGAAGCAATATGATTGGCTAGACTAGATTACACCACAGATTAGACCACTGGCATGCCAAAAGTGAAAGTGGATGAAGTCAAGAGACATGCAATTTTCAATGCTGCTGTCCTGTCTGGTCTGGGTTTCACTCACCCTGGACAATCAGACAACCATTAATGCCAAACCCTGATAAACACCAATTCTTCAAAATTTTGAACTGTTTCTTGGAATATCTCACCCTGAACAGTCACAAGTTCACTTATCATTTAAATGAAGTTCCAAAAACTATTTTCTCTCTCTCACTGCCTGCTTCAGTCCACTGCTGCTCCCACAATCCCTTGAGCAGGGATCCAGTAAAACACTGAGATTAGTAACTGATCATCACATTGGTTTATCAGTCTACTCAGGCTTTAGCAGAGCTCAGTAACATTGAGATTAATAACTGATCATCACATTGATTTATCAGTCTACTCAGGCTTTAGCAGAGCTCAGTAACATTGAGATTAATAACTGATCATCACATTGATTTATCAGTCTACTTAGGCTTTAGCAGAGCTCAGTAACACTGAGATCAATAACTGATCATCACATTGATTTATCAGTCTACTCAGGCTTTAGCAGAGCTCAGTAACACTGAGATCAATAACTGATCATCACATTGATTTATCAGTCTACTCAGGCTTTAGCAGAGCTCAGTAACACTGAGATTAATAACTGATCATCACATTGATTTATCAGTCTACTCAGGCTTTAGCAGAGCTCAGTAACACTGAGATTAATAACTGATCATCACATTGATTTATCAGTCTACTCAGGCTTTAGCAGAGCTCAGCAACACTGGCATAATAACTGATCATTACATTGAAGTAGTATAATCTGTTCCAATTTACCATCAACGAGGCATATTTATGAAATGTGTAAGAGTAAGAACACTGACCCAAGATCTCAATAGTTCATGTAATTCTATTCAGTTTTCCATAAACAGTTTTTGCAGCACTCAGCAACACTTAGACCTTTTGATGACTATGGGCCAGTATTGTTACACTGACAGGTATCATTTATTTTTGTTCTTTTTTCTGCTATGCTCACCATGAAAATCAGTACTAAAGGTTCAGATTATAGAGGAATGCAGTGTAGCCATTGAATGTCTCAACAGTTTAGACTGGATAGCCTACACTGACTCTCTTATCAAATCTAAACAGCTCTAGAATAAATTTTAATGGAAATAAGCATTGACTAAAGCATTCCTTACTGTCACAGATAATTAGGACTCCTGAGAGAAAAAGTCAAGCAACTGTCAACATGCTGTTTTGTTCTGTTTGTGTCTAGAAGGTTTACAACATTGTGATAGCCATTTTCAGAGAGTTCTATCAACTAGTCTAGCTAACCAGCTGAATTTGGCTCCTAAATTGCTCTACATTCAATTGTTTTTTTAATCAGCAAAAGTTAGTGATATTATTACTATCATTGTTTATTTATGTCACTCTATAACATTAGCTGTATTTGGACAAAATAAGATTATAGTCAATGTCCAACATTTGCCCCCTAGACACATCTTATCACCATTTCTACTACCAATTCTAACAACAGTTGTTAACTTTTTATGCACACAATTTTACTGCTTTCTTGTGTTAATTAATTGATTTAAAATTAATGCCATCATCATGCTCTGAAGATATATTAGAGGTATATAAGAGGTATTATATATAAGAGGTATTAGACTACAAATAATATGGGGCTGCTATGAGGAGAAGTTTGGAAATCGTAAAACGGACACTGACACATATAAAATCTCTACATATTGCAGTAATATTATTTGCTTCAATGGTAATATTAGTATTTTTCTGAACAAACAAGTAGCTCTGCCTAAATACAAGCCCACTTTCTGCAAACGTTTGGGCATTTTGTAAAATGCAATAAAAATAAGAATCTGTGGTTTGTTAATTCTTTTGAATCTTTACTCAACCGACAAAAGTACAAAGAAAAGATTTCCATTGTTTTTACTGCCCAACTTAATTGTATTTTGTAAATACAAACAAATTTAGAATTTGATGCCTGCAACACACTCAAAAAAAGGTTGTGACAGAGGCATGTTTAGCACTGTGTCACATCACCTTTCCTTTTAATTATACTTTTTAGTCATTTGGGAACTGAGGATACTAATTGTTGCAGTTTTGGAAGTGGAAATTTTGCCCATTCTTGCTTGACACAAGACTTCAGCTGCTCAGCGGTCTATGGTCGTTGCTGTGTGATTCTCTTCTGCTGACTCCTCTTTGCTGATAAAAAAGTCTGGATGGTCATTTTTGGCATGGAGAACTCTGTTTTCCCAAAAACAAGCTGAGATGTGAACTCAACTGACCACAGCACACATTTCCACTGTCTTTTGGACCATCAGAAATTAGCTGGGGCCCAGAGAACTTGGTGGCGTTTTTGCTGTATTTTTTGTGTTTTTTTTTTTTTGCTGTAGAATTGATGTATGAGTTTCTCCTTGCATTAAAGTGTTAAAATGCATTTCTCAAGTCTTTGTTAGACGCTCCTTTAATACCCAATCATGATACCCTCATTTCTTATCAATTCACCTGCTTATTGTAGAATGTTTTAAAATGGTGTAACTTGAATATTCTATAAGCTTTTCCCTCTTATTTTGCCCTTGACCCAACTTTTATTGAGTGTGTTACAGACATCAACTTCAAAATTTATTTATATTTACAAAACACAATCAAGTTGGTCAGTCAAAACATTAAAAGGCATTTTTTGTACTTTTGTCAATTAAATAAACGTTCAAGGGAATTAACCAATTACTGATTCTTGTTTTTACATTGTTTGTACATAGCTTTTCAAATATAATTATTCCAAATATAATTATTAAAACCTTTACACTTTACTGTATCTATGCAAGACTGTGTTTTAAGGTTTAATACAATGAGAACATAATGCCAGAAACTCAGAAAATCTCAAAGTTGGCCTGACCACACGTTGTCGACGTACAAGGTGTTTTATAATCAATTCACCTCCAGTGTAGGGTCAGTACTGACCATTAGCAGGTAAAGGTGGGTTGTGTATAAATAGTACTTATTTAGTACACACAGAGACTCATTTTGATGCGGCGCTCCATGTTCCTGAACGTACTGGCAAGGATTAGAGAGGTTAAACGTCGCGACGGCTGTCCGGCACCTACCTCATCACTCTGACGCAGGGGCATTCCGGCTTGTTTGAAGCTCTGTATACTGAGGAGCACACTGCACGTTGTTTCATTCAGATTGCTTCATCCGAGCGAGAGTCATTACAGAATATTCGGGGCCTCTTTCGAGTGAATCTCCCTGTATATACGCATATATTGTTTTCTATTTTCTGAAACAGATATCATTCCTTTTATAAATCCAATCTACTGTGAGGCTTAGAAAGTCTGCCAGATGTACTGACAAACCCAGTGGAATGGACATGTTGCCTGTTTCTCCTCAGCGTCCTTCTTTCTGTCTCCTTTTTCCAGAACTCCAGTGGGTTAGGCCACTGAGGGGTCAGCTTTCCAGGGCTTTAGGGTAGTGTAGTGTGCAAGCGTCTCCCCATGAGCAGCTGTGAGGAAGAGAAGCCCTGCTCCAAAGGTGTGGCTCTGTAAGCCAGCAAAGCATCTCTGTGGTCTTTTTCTTTAGCCAACAGTCCTTTGAGGGTCCGGACAGCACGCTCTACCTCCCCATTTGCTTGAGGGTAGCTCAGGCTGCTTGTTGTGTATATAAAATTGTCCTCTGGGATTCCATGATGTGCAAAGTCATCTTTGATCGCTTGTGCTGTTACCTCTGAGGATATGACTCTGAGATGCACCACTTCAGTGTACCTAGAGGAATAATCAACAATGAGCAGGTAGGTTTTCTTTTCACATTCAAACAAGTCCACACCTTCTTTTTGCCATGGGCATGCTGGAACCAAGGTAGGTAATGTTGGCTCACAGTGAGGCACTCTGTCACAGCTTTCAACCATCTGAAGAATTTGAGATGACTGACCAGGCCACCATATAGAATGATGGGCTCTGGAGCAACATTTAGAAATGGCCTGGTAGCCCTAATGAATCTTTCCAAGAACTTCTTTCTGCAGGGGACCTGGAATCACAAGTCTATCCCCTTTCAGGAGAAGATTGTCAACCAATGTAAGCTCAGCTTTAACTTGCCAAAAGGGCATGAGTTCTCTGCACAGAGCATGTTTCTCTGGCCAACCTGACAAACAGTGTTCCACTGCCTGGCAGGTTTTGTCCTCTGTTTGGACTTCCTGTATCTGTTTCAAGTGGGTCTCTGTCATCGACAGAGATGACATAAAGGCATCAATAAAGACCTGAATGTCTTTGAATGGCATGGGACAATGGGTCTGCAGTTATGAGGTTTTTCCCTGGTACATGCCGGATGTTGTGGATGAATCTCAAAAGGCGAAGGTAGATGACCTACCACCTGAGAATTCTAGATGGTAGGTCATCCAGACCTCTGGACCCCAACAGGAGTATGAGGTGTTTGTGGTCAGTAAGTATGGTGAAGGTGAGACCCAGAAGTTATGACACCAATCTTTCACACGCCCATGTGACTGCCAACGCTTCTTTTTCAATTCGTGCATAGTGCTTTTCTATGTCACTCAGACCACGTGAAATGTATGTTAAACCTTCCATGTGTCATCATTTTGTTTTTGTGTGAGCATTGCACCTATGCCATAAGAGGATACTGCTGCTACCTTTGTGTCTCTTTCTGGTCAGTACTGTGCCAGTACCTTAAGAGAACTAAGCTCTTCTTTGAGCCTACAAAAGGCCATTCTCTTTGGCTCATCCTAGCACCACTCATTTCTCTCTCTAACTAGCTCTTTTAATAGCGTGGTGAATAAAACAAGTTGAGGGAGAAATTTAACAAGATAATTAGCCAAACCCATAACTCCGCGAACAGCAGCCATGCACGTTGCTTCTGGCATTTGAAGGAGAGCCATCACTTTGTTTGGGTCTGCCTCAGGACCACTGGCTGTGATTTTGTGTCCAACAAAAAGTGTTTCACTCTTGTTGAACTCACACTTTTCATTCAGGGTGCTACATTGAGGCAAGAGAGGACGATATATACATATAACTTACCATCGGTGTTGCTAGGCCAATTTTAGAATGCTTTAGCCCTCCTAAATGTTATTTAGCCCTCCTTCCTAAGTAAATGTACATTACTAGTCCAAATCATCTAGAGCAGTGTGAAGCACCCTCTAGTGGTCCGCAGGCCTGCACTCAGAGGGAGGCAGTAGTACATAGTGGGTCAGTATCGGGGCACTGTAAGTCATTAAAATATAAGTGGAAAAAGATTAACTTAAAAATTCAAAAATTAAACATTTTCTTAGTATAAACACTATAAATATTAATAGAGACATACAAGTAAAAACGTCGCAGCAGTGGGCTAATTAAATGTCATCAGTCTGAGACAACGCAGCCACGGGTGCGTGATGCAGACAGCGAGTCAGAGATGGAGAAGTTTCTCAGGGTGCTTTGATTGGTGAGGACGTCTCACAGCTTTTTCTTTAGTTCACTCCATTTTGACATGCGGAACACTCCACCCGTATTCGGGTCTGCAGCAAACAGCTGAACCGGCCTGGCAGAAACCCACGAGTCTCGGTCGAACCCTGTTCAGTTCACTGTTGGTGGAAACGAGGGAATTCCTCAGTAGAGCTGGCTTTCCTTCTCTTCTAGCAGCGTGTCGGCGCAGTACAGTCAGCATAACGACTGTTTTAACTGACTCTTTACAGAGAAGAGATGCGTTTGATTTCAACTCATGGATCATAGTGGAGCGTGTTTTGGCTGAGGATCAGCGACCTGAGTGGTTAAACTCAAACTGATAAACCAATGACAAAGAAGAAGATATCAAGATTTATTATTATTGCTGATTGTGACGACGTTAATCCAAAAGCCCGGTGTGTGGACTGTGGTTTGGCTATTTCAAATGAATCCCAAAAACCCTCAAAACTAAAGAGAAATCTCGACTCCACATCCACATCCTACATTTCTATTCTTTTTCTTTTCTTTTTTCCCCCTTTGTAACATGTTTTTTAACTTTTCATGTTTTTTAACATACCTGCAAATTTTGCAAACCTACTGACAACCAAAACAGCCGATCTGATCTTTTTGAGGGCCTAATTTTCAGGTCTTCAGTGTCAGCATTTAAGAATAGAAAAAGAAAGATGTATTTTAATTTTTTTTTAGTTTTCCTGTGGGCCGCTATGCTTTGTAGTTATACACAGGTGAGCCTTGGGGTGGAAAACGTTGAGAACCTTTGTACTAGTCAACAAGTCCATGGTTTTTCAACTCTGGTCCTAAACACCTACTGAACAGCTTAGGTTGTCCCTGCTTCAGCCCTCCTGATCCAACTTATCAGCTAATAATCACCCCCTTAATGAGCTTCATTACATGTGCAAGAGCAAAGAATTCTTAAAACTGTGCTGGGCAGCAGGTCCTCAGGACTAGAGTTGAAAACCCCTGGACTAGTCTATGCAATAACTAAAGCATACACTGCATAAGAAGATGGTTTTGCTCAACAACCAGCTGATCAGACATCTAACAGGCTCTTAAAAATAATGTTCAGAATTAGACATTGAAAGTTAAAATATTTACTGAAGGATTCACTGTTAAAACATACAAAATAAAGAATGTCTGTTATAAACTTCAGATGTTTTATCTAGAACTGCTACAGGAGAAATCAGCATTACATCAAAATAAAAAATGTTCTTCGTAGTGGATGATGTGGTAACGCTGCATGCGTACAAGATTTTTTGAGTTACTTAACCAAGATATTGAAAAAAGAAACAGAGCACATCCAGTAATCATGTTACTGAATATCTAAATATTGTGTTCCTCTAAATATTCACAGTTTAACAAACTAGATGCTCATTCTGTTGTTGGTGATATTAGCAAGTCTCTAAGTTGGCTGTTCAATTCTGTTTTAAACTTTTATTCTCACATTGGTTCGCAATTAACAGGACTGTGTGTATTTAGCATTAACTTATTAAAGCTACACTATGTAAGCTGTGGGGGTTTGGAGACCTCTCTGGTGGAAAAGTGTAATTGCAATGTGTGGAAGAACACTTTAAAACGTTGTTTATAGTTCGGATCCCTTTCCTGAGCAAATGAATCTGATGACTGCAAGCGAATTTAAAGAGCATTTGAAGAGAACTCAGTCAAAACCTGCTGAAAGACACGTCTTCCAACATTGAAAAACAAATTTAGAGTCTAAAATCAAGTACTTCCATATCATACTAGCTACTTTCAGTGTGTTCTTTTAGTGTGTTCTAATGAAGTTTAGAATACTGTTTGCAGGCTGCCATACAGAGCACAAGGGGAGGAGCCAAGAGAGGACACTGCAGTAGAGGTCTGCACTACTACGGATTCTCGCGGGACCTGGCACAATATCTTGCGGCGCAGGACTAATTTTGAGTGTTGCATGCAAGAGCAGACGGGAAATCAGACCCCCTCAGGTGGGAGTGGGCGGGAAATAAGACTCCTTCAGGTGGGAGCGGGCGGAAGCACACATGAAGAGAAATCCTGCAAAGTAATGGATAGCCTAAATAAAGTAGAACAATCACTAAATCATATATGTAAACAATATAATAAGTCATTCTCGGGCAGATTTTTTCCGTGTGCGTCACGCATCTAAATACACTGAAATAAGCCATGAAAATCAACGAACATTAAACAGAAGACCTTAGAAAACGTAAAAAGGTGATTTTTAGGTAATTCATGATGAAATACTGGTTAAACATTCTGTGCTGCAAACAGATTTCCCGGCTGAAAGTTTTGCCTAATCACGAGTCAGAATGCTGTCTAGGACAAACAAATACATTGTGTACATTTATGAATTATATTTTGTTGAGCAGAGTGACTGATGTGACCATTTATCCGTCTGGAGACAGGAATGTCTGTATAACTGTCTCGCTGCTCCGCAGCTCAAACACTGTTTGTATGAAAGGCCAGCGTGTCCGAGCTGTACTGCTCACACTGCCGCATCACTCGCCATGCAGAGGCAGCATGTGTGAATCAGGCGTTAGACAGGGCGGAGCCTTCAGTCTGACAACCACAGCTGCCCAGCAAAACACAAAAAATAACCGTTCTGTGGTTTAATTTCTGCTGTGTTTACTGGGAATAAATGGTGTTTGGTGAAGTTACTTCACAGTGAGCCTGATGACCATGACTGTCATGTTATTTCAGTAGAATGTATTCATAAATAGACTGTGTCAGATACTGGACGTGTGCAGAACCGCGGGCAGGAGTGGGAGAAATGATTCAGATTTTCTGTGGGAGCAGGCGGGAGCGGGACTGAAAAAACAGTCCCGCACAGATCTCTACACTGTAGTTTGAAATTTTACAATAGTAGTTTGATGTCTTTGTCCTTCAACAGCTACATGTTTATGCAAGATCTATTGTCATTATTCTTTTTACATTATACAGCTAAAGATGTCAAAATGTTATGCAGAAAAATGGGCATATTATGTTACAGCTAAATCTAAATAAAGCGTCTGAGTGGTTCTGTCACATTACAAATATAGTGCACAGGGTTCAAACAAACGTTATTAACAATTATACGTCTCTCTGGAGCAAAGACAGACTGTAGTTCTCACTTGGGCAGGTTTCTCAGAGAGCTCTTCTGCTGACCACTTCAGCAGGTTCTGTATGGCTAAACGGGACGAAATACAGGATAAGGAAGTAAGGCCAGGCTTTACCCTGGGAAGAACAAGAGAGACCCATAATGGTCATTTGCCAGAGATAAGAGAAGAAATTCTTCCCAGACTTCATGGTGCGAAAAGCAGCTGCACCCTCAGTGATAAACTGAAGCATTTTCT